TTAATCCAAATCATCAGATGATATATTAAATAATATAGTTTTATTGCGGGTATACAATGGCGAATTTAACATTATGTAACTGTTCACATTAAGTTGAAATTGATACCCAAATCGCTGGAAAATGCATTTCTGAGGTTCTAAATTTAAAACTTTTCTGGGGGGCCATGCCCCCATACCGCCCTAGATAGCAGGGCCTTCCGGCCCTGCCTGTGCCACTCCCCCCTACTATTTGGGAAAACCGCTTACTCCAAAAATTATTGAAAGCTCTGAATCCCTGTAATGACACAAGAAGCCCAAAAGTAAAAACGTAAATTTCAGAACCAATAATTTACAATTGACTACATGTAAATACAAAAGTACTTAAAAAAGAGAAAAATAAGAAAAACAAAACTTCATACAATGCGATTTAGGGCTTCAAAAGATCGGGATCATTCAGCACTATCAATTGTAATAACAGTATTCCCACTGCTTACATCAATATCACTAATGATAACATTTCAGTAACCACATGCGCTCATAAAGTGCCTATTTTTGCTATGTGCCATAAATCAAAGTAGTGGCGGATTGTAGGCTTTCCATTGTCTTTGCATAATTTTGGACATTCTTCTTTCGTCCACTTAGTGATTGATGTGTGACGGTCTGATATTAACTGCTTTATCAGCATCCCTGTGGTGAATAGGTACATAGTGGACCTTTGGTGGCCAAGGAATAGAGTCCTCAAGTGTGACGTCACGTTGCTTAGCGACGAAAATTTTCGGCTCTAAACAAACTGCGTTCAAGATGGCGTCTGTAGCGTGACACGTATTATTCTGCTGTTTTCTCCATTGTATTGCTCGGATTTTTCAATTMTTTTTGTCAAAAGAGGGTTTTAACATACAAAGGACATATAGGAAAAGGTGTTGCACTGCTCATGAGGTGAGTTTTCCTTCGCAAACGTATTATTTTGGCGATCATATCATTCTAAACAGCGTGACTAATTTTGTGTGTTTGGATATATTGTGCAGATCAAGTTCACTATGTGTCAGTGCTTAGTTCCTGATTGTCATCACCAGTCAGAAAGCCACAACTGTCGTTTTTTCAAGTTCCCAAGCCAACTGAAGAAAGTTAAAGAGTATAACCGTTGGATTCGTTTAATAAGGTACGTACGTACTATGCGAGTTGATGATCGTTGATGCTCACTCGTGACATAAGTTTTCGATATCTCAAAATTCCTAACATTTATTCTTTAATTCATACACAATCTTACAATATCTTAATGCTAAACAATCGTTTTTTGATTTTATTGCAGAAGGCAAGATAGAGAGCCAACTCAGAATTCGAGAGTCTGTAGTTGCCACTTCAGAGATGGAGACAAGATTAATGGACCTGGAATTTAAGCTCGGAATGAAAACAAACTGTTTCCCTGCACTGAAAAGAAAACACCGAACCCTAAAAAAAGGAAATCAATGGACAGTCCAGCAGTGAGTATAGAGGATATGGTCAGAGCTCTAAAAGAAAAGAATGGGAACATTAATAATGCTGAGGAGACTGCAAAGAAACCTCCAACAGAGCAAGTGATTTTACAAGCTGAACTGGATAGTGCCCTCAGAGAGCTGCAAAAACTGAAGGAAAGTGCCCATTATGAAAGAAATCATTACAATGTCTCTTCAATCAATACCGAAACATTATGCATGGAAACTGGTCTTCCCACTAAAGAAGTATTTGACATAGTTGTCAGGCATGTAGAAAGATTTAAGGACAACAAATTATTTTTCAGGATGGAAAGTTGATACCATTAAATTAGAAGATCAGATCTTTATTACACTTATGAAGCTAAAGCAAAATTACACAAATCTTCATTTAGCTCAATTATTTTCCTGTAGTGTTTCAACAATACCAAACATTATTTTAACATTTCTTCATGTCCTCCACAGTCTTTTATTTAATGATGTAATGACCAGCATCCCTTCAAGAGATAAAAATAAGACATGTTCACCATCATCCTTTTCTCAGTTTAGTAGCTGTAGAATAGTTATTGMTTGTACTGATATTAAGGTAGCAACTCCAAGTCTAATGAAAGATCAAAATGCTACTTATTCTAGTTACCGTAGTATGAATTCTTTCAAAGTTATTGTAGGGGTAGCTCCAAATGGAGTCATAACATATGTGAGCAAACTCTATCCAGGTTCCATCTCAGATAAAGAAATTGTGGAGAAGTCAGGATTGCTTAAACATTTTGTAGCAGGTGATTTGATATTAGCTGATAAGGGTGTTTTAATTAATGATATTGTTCCTCATGATGTTTCCGTCAATATACCCTTTTCACAATACCTTTGTCTCACCAACCAATGGATTTTTGGTTGGCAAATGAATAACAAAGGCTGATGTCAGTCATGCGAAGTATCGCTATACAGTTGAACCCACAATGCAAAGTGGCTCACTTTGCATCTCGTCTGCATTAACCCATCAAGGGCGTATTTCACCAATATACCTTTTTAGAACTCAAAAATAACCCCTGAAGCCTTTAATGCAGATGCATTTGCGCATGTTTTGCCTCGATTCATATTCACAAATGCCAACGAGAAAGCAAAAATTGCCGATCTTAAAGTGCCACTACGATGAAATTCGGTGTCTCGTTTTTAGAATAATTTTTACATCTTCAAAAACTATGAAGACCCACATTTTGCTGGCCCAAGCCTTTTTTATTTCTGTGAACGACAAGTGCCTCAAATTTAGACATAAAAACGCGAATTTGGCGTCCGCCATTGCTACCGAGTGTTCTTATGAGCCTGCGATATTACGCTGACCCGTGTTGCAGTTACTCAACACATTGCTCGAGCTTACTTGATTACTTCAGAATTATGATGATGTTTGAGGCGGATTTCGACGAATACGATGCGGAATTAGATCCCATAGCAAATGAACAAGAAGTAGAAGAATACTCATTGGAAATAGAACGCGAAAATGAAGAAGAGGAGACACTTTTAAGACGTCTTGCCGGCGAAGTCGAGGTTCTTAACTGGTAAGTACGCTTTCGCTAATTGTGTGATGCACATGTATGCATTATCATAGTTATCACATTATTTGACTTGAAAACAATCATATCCTTGTAGGTGCAAGTGTAGCAAATGTTTCTTACAACATATTGTGAAACATGAGGAATGTCGGTGTTGTATGCAGTACGACAGATGTACAGAAAAAATGCAGAAATCGATCAAGAGGAGGAATGCATTACACACCATGAAGCCTTCAGTAGTGTTTGCCTGGACCAGTGGGTTCTCGATGTTGCAGGGAYTGGTCTTAAGACAAAAGGCAAAAAATCATATACTGTGTCACTTTCAGCTCTCGAACAGTTGCATCTCCACCTTTGAATTTAGGATACTTGACTGTGAGTTTTGCCTGTCCATTGACATCTACTTTGCTGTCCCTATTGGTGTTATAATTAAAGTGTAGAGCAGATAGAATAGTCCTGGGAATAGAATGTAAAAATTCCATTAGATATAATTACTTAGTACATAAACATTCAAACTGTATTTTTAGCACAAACATTTAGATTAAATTGTCCTGTTTCTAACCTGCTAAGCATGCCCAAATATGAAAATGCCAGCATTTTGGGTGCAAACTGGTTAATTACTGAGTGGTATCCTTCCAATGAACTGGTCTGTGCAACTGGTGAGGCTTGTTTGATGGCTTTTACAAGTGAGGTTTTACTCAGAGCATCACATAGTTTCCAGTATGCTTCAGAACCTGACATAAAGATAATTATTTAATTATCAAATACAAGTAATACCTTTAGTTAGCCATAAGCGTGGAGTTTTGATCACACCATGTGCACACTTGTTGAATAGCGTATTCGGAATGTCCTTATGAACATTTATGATATGATACAGAAAGGTATTAAATTTGGCAATAATAACATCACCATGCTTAGGTGTTGCTGATGTCACTGTCCAGTAAAAATGGCGTACACAGGCTTTTCTCCATCTCCCAATGGTTTCACAGCCTTTTTCCTTACTCAGTCGTATCAAAATCTTTTGTATTTCTAGTACAACAAGAAAAAAATTATATGTATTAGAAATATATCATATGTATTAGAAATATATTTAAATATTGATATAATAAATTAATATGTATCAATTTGCATGACCCTTACAAAATCTTGGATCTAGTGGTCCATATCCTCAAGATGTCCTTTTGATTTATAATTAGTATACCAATTGTTGTTCTATTCTCTTGAGAAACACATGTAAGCTTTGTCAGACTTACTTTTGCCAATGTGCCACAGATCATAAAAATGGTCTTTTATTGGTTTTCCAAGGGCTTTGCATTTCTTTGGGCATTCAACCCTCATCCACTTTAGCAATTGACTTATGCCTATCAGATATGAAGGTCTTAATTATCATATCAGTGGCCGGCAAGAATGTTAATGCCTTTTGATGTCCTTGAAACTCTATGTTGGAGGAGCTTCCACATTGGTTTGCCTAATAAAAAGCAAAAGACGTAGTACAAATCATTGTTATTGATAAGGTATATATGTAATTTTTTTAAATGTGTTATGTTATATGCACCTGCAAAAGAACAATGTTAACAATAAGGCCAATGGTGCAGCAAAATATGCCATATGTGCCATATTTTGCTGAATGGCCCATGCTGTCGTGCCTTCCGTCTCCAGCAATAACTACTTCCTTGTAATACTATGAACAAACGGAGCAACGTTTCCTTCTCTGTGCAGGGACAACGTCATATAAAAAAGAACAAAAACCTAGAACAATAGGATTCCTAACCATTCCGCGCCATTAACTATGCCCAAAGTACTTACAGCTTTTTGGTCAGAGGTAAATGCCTCCATAGTTACCAGGAACGCCTGTTTGTTATTAGCGTGCAAATGTACAAGTTGTGCTTCGTGTTGACGTAAAAACTCGTTATTCTTTAATGTACAAATTTAAAAAGTTGATAATTAATATGAATAAGATATATATATACAGCGTTTTGGCGCGGGAATTCAAACATTTTCACTCGCAATGCTAGAGGAAAGATCAGTTTGTCTTCATCCGTCCTACATCGAGTGTTTGGCCCCAATCTTGACAGCTCAAAAGCAATGGTTTGCTGTGGCTAGCGAAATGGCAGATGGAAAAGTTAGAGAGTTGTTAAAAGGTGATATTTTCAAAGTGTTCGAAGGAGGAGCAAAGGAAGTACGAAAGCAAAATCTCGTATACGAGGATGGCTGTACAGTAAATCCGGAGTGGTTCAGTAGCAAGACAAAAGACATAGTGCCGGTATGTTCACTCTTTGGGCTATTGAGCAGGTCCCTGAGAAAAAAGAACTTGGAAAATGACATCTTTTTGCAAACAAATGAAATTATGCAGCTGGGGAATTTCATAAATGAATCGGCGTATGGCTATATGAAAATGGCGGGAAGAAAACAAGTTGTCGCCATTTTTGAAACTCCGCCAACTACTTCCGTGGTGACGCCTTCAACATCCAGTGAAGACTGTCCAGAAACACCGAAAGCCCATAAAGGAAGCAAAGGTAGGATAAACTTTTATTGTTTGATCTCCAAAGCTGCTCATTTGGTCCAAGAAAGAAGGCCAAGCTTGCCGAAAGAACCACTGCCTAGCTAAACTAATTGTGAATTGAGTATTATGCAGCTCTATCAATTGAGACACGGAAACAAAATTTAAAATTTGAGAATCTAGTTTTACATCATTAACTTTCATTTGATTTTAGGTTTTAATGGAACAAGCTTACCACAGCACCATGTCCTGCCCTAAGCAATCCTGCTAACACAGCCAGGGCAGAAAACAGGCTGCGCCAACAGTCCCGCCCTAAGGACCCAACTGCTTTAGATTTTGAGGTTCAGAAATACAATATTCCAGATGAGTTTTTTAAGATAAGTATTATAGTCTACTACAAAATACTATGAAAAATATTTTGTGAACCGCTAAATAATTACAATTGAACTTAGATGTCAATATTTTTTTAATCAGAATAGAAGATTCTTTATCAGCTTACAATAACACATTTCATGTAATGTATGATACTTATTGATAGTTTTCACCGTAAATTACTCTTATAGGCTGACATCAAAGTTAAAGATAGACGGCATTTTATTTTTGCACTTGAAAACCAGCTAGATCAGTTGTGCTCTGCTAAAAATTGGTATCTAGATGGTACATTTAAACTGGTTAGCAAGCCATTTACCCAGTTTGTCACAATAAATGTTTTTGTGAGAGCCGGGGAATGCATCAAGCAAGTTCCCCTAGTTTGTGTTGTGATGTCAGGAAAGAAAGAAAGGATTACAAAAAGGTAATTATATAATAAATTTATCATATCACATACATTACTGTACTTCACTATATTACATCTTTCTTTTGTCTTGTAGGTTCTCAACAAAGCGTTGTATCTATTACCCTACCTTCCAAAGGCAACGAAAGTGGTCATTGGGATTTGAAAAAGCAATGTGTTTGGAGGTGAAGGCAGTTCTCCCTGGAGTCAAAGTGCAGGGCTGTGTTTTTCATTGGACTCAGGCATTGTGGAGGATAATATGATATTAAAGATATAAATGCTGGAATAAAGATTTATATGATACCATATGGCAAGTCTTTAAACTGAAATAAAAACATTAAATATAAATTGTCAATACCAATCAATGACATCAATAATTTGCTAACTTTCTTAGGTCCAGGCACTAGGATTGGCCATTGCATACAAGAAAGATGATGGTACATATAAGTTTGTCAGGAGGCTGATGGCACTTCCTTTTCTTCCAAGGCATAAATAGGTATAAATTGGACATTAACTTTATAATCAAATATAATTTAATATTCAAAAAGCATAATCATTTAATATCACGATTGTTGATAAAGCTTCATTTCATTTCAGGCTACTTGCTGAAGAAACAACAGAGGGCCTCCAAGCTCTAACAGGATATATCCAAGAAAAATGGATTGAAAGTACAGTATTCCCACAAGAAAACTGGAGTGTATATGGCCAGGTACACACCAACAATGACCTGCAAGGCTACCACAATGCCCAAAACCGTAGAGCAAGTGGCAAAGTCCACTTGCCATTCTATATGCTTGTTCAATTTTTATATAAAGAATCTAACCTTGTGGGGCTACAGATTAAGCTAGTTTCTGAAGAAAAACGTAAAAGAATACAGAGAAAGAAATATCGTAATTTGCAATGTAAAGTGTTAAAACTATGGGAGGATTATTCTAAGAATGAGAGATCACCCGCTCAGCTTTTGAAAGCATGTTCAGTTTTTGAACGGACCAATTCGTGGCCATTGAACTTAATTGTAGGTTTCTTTTGTTGAAAATATTTCCTTGTAAATAAATTTGTGTACTTCCATATAACCTTTAAATAAACTGTATATTTGTAAATAAAATATTAATGATGGCAAAAAACGTAGTCATGTGCGTCTTAGCTATTAAAGAACGGCTGTAAAGGAGGCGGAGGCTACGTGCAAGGTAACTAGAACCCAGTCTCAGCGCGAGGCAGAATGCAGCATTAATTAAATATGGCGGCTATAAGCGAAAACTGGCTTTAGCGACTCTCCAGCAGGTAAAACATTAATGTCGTTGCAATATAAAGTATGTTGTTTTGTAAAACATAAGCCATGAGTTTAGGCCTTGTTGACATTTACAATGCTTTGATGTGTCATTTTCATTGACAACCGAGTTCGTGAATCACAACTGCACAACACAGCACAAGATACAGGTAAGAAGCACGTTTGTAAATGAATTCCTTTTGTATCTACACATGATATCGTGTGGGCGAACATGCTTACAGTTGTGGGCTAAACGGTGTGGGCTAACTGACTTGTGGGCAAAACATCCGGTAACCTTTTGCATTTTCAAAGCTATTAAGAGGGACTGTACTCGAATCAATCTCGCTATATGTACCATGCATACATGCCATTTCCACATACATCTGTTCTTCACTCACTATGGAAAAGTCCTCACTCGGCAAGGCATCTTCTTGAGATTGAGAACATGAGTTCCAATGTTCGGCATTGTTCGGCGGAAGATAAAGTCCAGACAACGATGGCGTAAAAGCATCATTGATAACAATGGCTTGCGAGGTTGATTTTTGACTTTTATGATTTTGATAGTGGTGAATTTGTTTTGGAACTTTGAGGGTTTTGTCAGTCAAATATAGTTTGTACTTCCTTTTTCGAATCTCTAAGAAAATAAAAAATAAGCTTAATTAGCTGCGTGTAAACTTAAAGTTCACTTAACGGGTGAACTTAAATGGCATAACTTCACAGTCGATTAGAGTTAGTAGTACTTTAAAACTTTAAATTATACAGTAGTACAGGACTGTAGATATAACAGAAGAACAGAGAAAACTGAGTAGAGTAACAACTACTTTTTAAAATAGGCAGTTACTTCGCTCTGTACAGACGAATGAAGTTTTCTTTGATGCCATACTGACTCGAGGCTTGATATCACCCCAGACAGGCTATCGGTATGGCTCGTTTTAATACTGTACCGCTATAAAATAAATGCGGACATACTTTAGCGCATCGCGCTGTATGTGTTTCTCTGTTTGAAGTTGATGTGTAAAGCATTACTGTAGAATGTTAACCGAATGAATAAGATAATCACAGATTTTACAGTAATAACTTTACAGTATTTACACTAAGATCTAAACTGTAACCTATTTATCCTGGCCGTAATACGGGGTTAAAAAGTAGGGAAGTTTGTCAATCGGGCCACAAAAAATAAATGTATGTAAATATATGGGCATTTCATCGGGACCCAAAAGAGCTGACAGCAATAACGGGGTGGCCGTATTTAGCGGGTGGCCGTAAGGCGGGGTTTTACTGTACTAGATTTTTAGCAGTTAAGGACCCTGAGGACTCATTAGTCGCGTCAAATTCAGACATGCTTGTTCATATCTTCCTCAGATCACTAGAACACAAAGGGTTTCTGAAATGTTTTCTAGTAAAAGAAATGTATTCACTTTGAGCTCGTTTATGCGTCAATAGATCACAGCTTATAAATATCATCATATCGTAATGATCGCTTAGAGCAACTCGACGCGCTTGTGATAAGCGTTTGTGAGAGATATTGCCACTACTCGCGCCCGATTTATTAGCTTAAAACCGGCCTTTAGCAATGATTCAGTTGATTCTTCTCTATTTTAATAGCCAATAAAGCTTCAAAACCATGATTTTGAAAAAAGAATCACGAGACTAACTGAAATGACCGAGGCCGGTAAGCTACTTAGAATATGTAATTCAGCCTATGCTTTATACTTTTTAAATGCTTTTGGAGGAACCTTGAAGAGAAAATGGAAGCCGTCGGAAAAAAATACTCAAATCCAAGAGCTTTGCGACTGATTTAGGTGTTCATTCATGGCGTCTACAGAGAATTCTTCAGAGAAAGGAAGACGAGGAAATAAACATTCTTTTCGAAAAAAGGTGTTAGGAACAAGTTCTCCTCAAGCAATTCTCAAGACCGTTTGGCTGAATAATATGACACACTTTGGACTGCGCGGCTGTAAAGAACAGCACCAGCTGCGAAGGGGAGACATCACACTAAAGACCAACAGTGAAGGCAAAGAATTTCTCGATTATCGTGAACGACAAACAAAGACAAGAACAGGTGAAGACCCACGTAATGTGCGCTCAGTGAAGCCTAGAATGTATGAAAACCAAGAAGTGGAGAATGAGCGTGATCCTGTCTATGCATACAAAGTTTACAGAGAAAAACGTCCTCCTTCGATGCTTGAACCAGATTCACCATTCTATCTGTCAGTAAATTACTTCAAGACACTAGCTTACCAAGAACTAAAGGATTCCTTTTGGTTCAAAGTAAAGCCAATGGGAATTAATAAACTCGACTCCATAATGAAGGACATGTGCAAAGCCGCCAAAATCACTTCAAAAACAAACCACGCGGGAAGAAAAWCCCTAGTTCAGAAACTCCAAGACAATGGAGTCCCAGCTAATCAAATCATCCAAGTAACAGGACATAAGAACATACAGTCAATTAATAACAACAGCCAACTTGGAGAACGACAACAAGAAAATATTTCAAAGATCTTATCATCAAGCAGCAGCGCGAAGGATGTGACAGGAAGGGGAATCTACAAGGCAATCATCTATCTTCAAGTTCGTCCACCTACTCCGCCGTTAATGAAAATCACCTACAAACGATGTTTTATGGAAACACATTCACTGGAGCCACTTTTACAGCGCCTTTCATAATTACGCGACCTCGACAAATTTGGCGCCAGCCCAAAACATGCGTTTTGGCTGCCGTCAATCAAAATTACGATAACTACCGAATGGAATCCGATCGATGGCCGAGCGACAAGATTCTTTTCCTCACAAACAAAATGGCCGGTGACATGGAAGATTCTCAATTCCTGGATATTCCAATCCCGTTACCGGACTTGGAGGAGACTCAAATAGTTGATAATATTGAAGATCAGGTAAGAAAAAATTTCGTTCTCCTAAGCATGTTTTACTCAAGTGTGTTATAGTTTATATTGCCCGTAAATATACTGCCTTGTCAAAACCTCGTRGACTCATTTGACGTAAGCTTGCAGCTGTAAATATTTCATCCGATTCTCTTTCTTACAGAGGGAGGTAGCTCTATTCCTGCAAGTCAAAGATGGAAAAGTGTCTGGAGCCGAGACTACTCCTTTCTTGCTTCCTCACAGGTGGACTTATGATACACTACTTTGCTGCGTTGAGGATTACATACGTCGAAATGGCCACGGACAACGAGTGAAGCGTTTATACTTCAAGCGCGCCAAAGGAAAGGCAATAATTTGTCTGAATGGCGWTGGTGATATTTCTGAATTATTGAAGGAATATCCTTTACAGTACCCAAGCGGCAAGAAATCAGGGAGAACAGATAGGATGTATTTGGCGGCGGAGTTGGATAAAAATGGTAAGCAAAATTATCTTACTGCAGTTCAGGGTTTATCAGGTCCCGAAGGGGTAAAATTGGAGTTGGGATTCACAAGCAAAAAAAAAAAAAAATGGGCATGGGATTGAAAATTTGAAAAAAAACTCGATGGGATTTTGGAATCTTAAACTATGGGATTTAGCCAAAATTTACACTGGGAAATGGGATTAGGACTTCGTTCAGGACCCTGTATGGCATATCATAAACCGATTTTTCCCTCAAACTTGCATTCAGTATAAATACGCTATAGACCCTTTGCACTTTAATTCCCAATAGTAATTGAACTGGAGGCTAGGACAAACTAAGCTGTCTTTTCTTATGCAAAAATATTTGTTTTGTTCCTAGGACAATTTCTCTGAGTGGGCATTTTATACTGCTTAGGGTCTATAAACCCACCCCTCTTCCACATCAAGAATAACGATATTTTTAAATTCTTGTAACATTGATGCTKTTACATCCCTAGACACAACATCATATGTGCTACAAACCCCAAGRAGGTCACCTCGTCTTGTGAAAAAGACATATGATGTTTTTGTTCATACCACAGAAGTAGGGAAGGTTTCATCATCTGCAGAAGTTATACACAATGTAGATACCGATGCAAAACTGCTAGATATTATTGATCTTCTGAACAAAAAAGAAAATGAAAACATATGTTATGTCCCCAAAAAAGGCATTTCTTGGTTGAGAAAGGGAAATAAAAATCCAGTTGTGTTGAAGAATGATGAAGATCTTCAAAAGTGCAAAGAAGAATATCGTGGTACAAATTCAATCCGTATTGCGTGCCCAGTGGTCAGCAAATGTTCTTCTGATGGTGACAATGGTAGGTAATCAAAGGTTATATTTTCGCTTTGTTGAACTGATGACATACTGATTATTTAACTGATGATATAATCTTAATGATATACTCTTTGATGTGCTGTAGGTGCAATACCTTCCAAAAGAAGAAGAAAACTTGACATGGGAACAGGGAGTGATTCAAAGAACGATAATGAGCTGTGGAATGAAATTCATGTGAGTTTGGTAAGAGATTTAGAGAAGAAAGGAATCCTTCGGAGATATAGTACAAAGCATTTGCAGCTATGGACAGATATGATTCTGGAAGGAAAGTCATCTGGCTGTGGAGAGGAACCCGAGTGGGAGCTGTATCTTGAACAGGTTATTGTCCCACCAAAAACTAGAAGAAGTTTATCTCCAGGTAGTAGTACATCTTCGGTCAGTGGCTCAAATTCAAGTGATTCTAAAATGGCATCAAATGGAGACCT